ACCCTTCCCATTGGCTAATCAGGGCGATATGCAAATTAACTGCCAACCAAGATGGTGGCTGGCAGCAAGGCAGCTTGAAGCTAACGGGAGGCTTGCTTGCTTCAGTGACGGAGGAAGCCAAGGTTCCCCGCCTGCCACTGCCGGCCTCTGAGCTTGCATTTTGAAACATTGTTACAAATATAGAAGCTAAACAAAACCCCAGTAACCTGCTTTCAGCCAGCTGGGATCTCAGAGCTGGAGTTGAAACAGTGATTCGATTATAGAACGCAAACAAACCAGATACCTGCTTTCAGCAGCCGAGGCCTCAGAGCTGGAGCCAAGCCTCAGAGCTAAAGCTGGCCCAGAATAAAAAAAAAGAAAGAAAAAAAGGAGCGGTTGGGAGCTTCAGTCACTGGCCAGCCTGAAAACGGCCCTCAGCCCCTCACCCAGATTGGCCAGGTACCCCAGTGGGGACCCTCACCCTGAAGGTGGTGTGACCAGATGCAAACAGCCATCATCCTCTCATCCAGACTGGCCAGGCACCCCAGTGGGGACCCCCACCCTGATCCAGGACACCCTTCAGGGCAAACCAGCTGGCCCCCACCCGTGCACCAGGCCTCTATCCTATATAGTAAAAGGGTAATATGCCTCCCAGCACCGGGATCAGCGTGACAGGGGGCAGCGACCAAACCCCCTGATCGCCCTGCGGCTCTGTGTGACAGGGGACGGGGCCACAACCTCCCTATCCGCCCTGCCCTGTTCGTGACAGGGGAAGGCGCCTCAACCCGCCCCCCTCCCCGGGCCCTGCTCTGTGTGTGACGGGGTAGAGCCATAACCTCCCCATCGGCCCTGCCCTGAGTGTGACAGGGTGCGGCGCCCCAACCCCCTTGATGGGCCCTGCTCTGTGAGTGATAGGGGGCAGTGCCCCAACCCCCTGATTGGCCCTGCTCTGTGCGTGACAGGGGGTGGCGCCGCAACCTCCCCATCGACCCTGCCTTGAGTGTGACAGGGGGCGGTGCCCCAATCCCCCAATCGACCCTACCCTGAGCATGACTGAGGGTGGCATTGCAACCTCCCGATCTGCCCTGCTCTGTGCATGACAGGGGGCGGCGCCCCAACTCCCCAATCGGCCCTGCTCTGAGCCCGACCAGGGGCTGCACCTAGGGATTGGGCCTGCCCTCTGCCACCCGGGAGCAGGCCTAAGCCAGCAGGTCGTTATCTCCTGAGGGGTCCCAGACTGCGAGAGGGCACAGGCTGGGCTGGGCGACCCCCCTCCCCCCGCCCCCCGAGTGCACAAATTTTTGTGCACCGGGCCTCTAGTTTGAATATAAATGTGAAATTAAACTAAAAATGAACCTCATTGGTGATGTGGATCAGATTCATGCAGAAAGGATGATATAATGATGTTAGATACCAAGTGGCTATTTGTGAATGTGGCTTTACATATATGCCAGAAAATTTAATGCTTTGCCCTGGAGCTTTATCATTACTAGATTATAAATTCATTGAGGGACAGTGAAATGTTCTATTCATCATATTGTCCCCTGCATGACCTGGTGCAATACCTTCATATAGGAGATCCTCAAAGTGAGAGCTGAATGAGTAAATAGCAGCTTATTAAGAGCATAGAATCTAAATCAGCTGACTGTTTAACTCTTCCCGATCTCATTTCCTCCCACCCCACGTGGAAATTATTTTCCTGATGTCTGTATTTATTATTTCAAGGCATGTGTTTATACTTTAGCTACACATGTCCATATCTGTAAATAGTTAAGATTAATAATGAGCATGTTTTCCAACTTTACAAACATGTAAACATACTCAACTATCATGTTACACTCTTCTAGATACATTGTATTTCCCCTTTCTTAAATACCAGCAAATGTAAGCTCCATAAAGCAGTGATTTTTTTCTCCTTTATTCATTGTTATATCTATAGGGCCAAGGAAAGTAGACATGGATGATGCTTAATTTGTTGAATGAATGAATAAATGAATGCAACAAAGATTCAGATTTGAAAAGTTTGAAAATATGAGTATTTATATGAGTTCATATGATGTCTTGTTTTAAGATATTAGGACATATTTCTATTTTTGGTAATTATACATTGATATTATTCCAACAAAGCATTAAAATTGGGGTGAAGAATTTTTTTTATTTTAACCATAATAATTGTTTCATATAAGTTAATTTCTTCCCAGGTATAATCTCCTCCATTTCTTGCCTTTTAGGAACATTATGGCTCTCTGAAAGGCCTTACCCTTAGCTGGATTGGGGATGGGAACAACATCCTGCACTCCATAATGATGAGCGCAGCCAAATTCGGAATGCACATCCAGGCAGCTACTCCAAAGGTAGGGAAACTTTCTGCCTGGAAACTACCCCCCACTTTAAGTCATCCCCGGATGTAATTACCCAGGAAAAACAAACCTCTATTCCATTCAAGAGCACAGGTGAGGCCATAAAATTTAGGTTATGTTAGCCCGTCTGTTATAGCTATTTGGTTTCTTGGGTGCCCAATTTGCCAACTCTATAATAAGAGATAGTCTTGGCGATGCCTTTCATCCTATTATCTCCTCGAATGCCCTGAAACCAGCCATACTGATGACTGGTATCCTTGTGCATTGCTACCACAAAGGATGAAGAAAGCAGTACAATTCAGACAGTGTAGAATTCACAAGGCATGGCTAGAATGCTATCATTTTTCTAATACTGTAGTTCTCCCTTATCTGTGGGAGATATGTTCCAAGATTCCCAGTGGATGCTTGGCACTACAGAAAGAACTGAATTCTTTAAACACTGTTTTCCCCCTGTACATACATACATACATACATACATATCTATGATAAAGTTTAATTTATCAATTAGTCCCAGTCAGAGATTAAAAATAATAACTAATAATAGAATAGAACAATTATCACAATATAATGTAATAAAAGTTATGTGAATGTGGTATCTTTCTCTCTCTCACTCAAAATATCTTATTGGACTGTCCTCCCCTTTTTCTTGTGATGATATGAGATGGTAAAATGCCTAAATGATGAGATGAAGTGATTTATTAAGGAAGTGCTCCTTAAAAAATCTGTAGGGGGACAGGGGGAGCAAAACAGAGAAAGGGAAGAATCTAAGCAAGGATGTTATAACTGTGATCAACCATCTTGGTTTGCCCAGGAGTAGGGATTTCTGGGGACATGGAACTATCAGTGCTAAAAACTGGGAGAGTACCAGGCAAATGAGGATAATTTGGAAACCCTAGTGCCATGGCAGGCACTGCCTCACAGAAGGGAACTTCAGCTTGATCCCACAGGTGCTCTTGCTGGACCAGTTTGAGTCAACACACCCTGCTGCCTTAATCTGCAGTTGTTAACAAATTACCACAACTTGGGTGGCTTAAAAGAACAGAAATTTATTGTTTCCTTATTCATCCTAGAGACTAGAAGTCCAAAATCAAGGTGTTTGGTAGGGCCACACTCCCTTTGAAGCCTCTAGGAAAAGATCATTCCTTGTCTCTTCCCACTTCTGGTGGCCCTAGGTATTCCTTGCTTTTTTTTGTTTTTGTTTTGTTTTTGTTTACAAATGTCCCTCTTTATGAAGATAGCAGTCATATTAAATTTAAGCCCACCCTGATCCAGTATGACCTCATCTTAACTAATAACACCTGAAAAGACCCTACTTCTGAATAAGGTCATATTCTCAGAATCTGGGTGGGAATGAATTTTTTGGAGGACACTATTCCACCTACTTGCCATAGAAGAAAAGCAGGCATAGGCAATAGCATATATTGTAAGCCACCCTATTACAGTAAACTTTGGGGACTCAGAGAGATAACTCTCACAACAGATAATTCTCTTTTGTTCAGCATCACTCTCTCTACATATCTAGTTTGTATTAATAACTATTACAGCATTTAGTTTTTACAGATAAAACAAACAATAACAATAATTGTTTCTTGTTATAAGGTGTTTTTGGAAAGGATTTATTCTGTTGGAGAAATATGATTGAAACATTTTATTGCATGTCCAAGATGTTTTCTTCTCATTAAAGGAAAAATTCCAACATTACAGAGCAATTTCAGTATTGTTCTTATGCAGAAACTCATTTAAATGATAAAGAGTACTAAAACTTGACTAATTCTTGGTGGGAATGAGTTTTAAAATGTCTTCTGCAGCCGAAACCGGTTTGGCTCAGTGGATAGAGCGTCGTCCTGCGGACTGAAGGGTCCCAGGTTCGATTCCGGCTAAGGGCATGTACGTGGGTTGCGGGCACGTCCCCAGTGGGAGATGTGCAGGAGGCAGCTGATCGATGTTTCTCTCTCATCGATGTTTCTAACTCTCTATCTCTCTCCCTTCCTCTCTGTAAAAAACCAATAAAATATATTTAAAAAAAATAAAATAAAAAAATAAAATATCTTCTGCAAAGTCTGATAGTGTAGAAGTTGTTCCAGCAGTTTATATGTAGACCTATTTCCTTTAAAGTTAGAGCTAGGATATTTATTGTAAATTTAAGAAACATTAAAAAGTTTCTAAGCCATAATTAATCTATTTCCCATTCTTCAATCAAGAATAACTTACATGTTCAAGAAAACAATTTTGTCCTTGATTGTAAAATTTCTCCATAAACTATTGATGGTAATGATTTCAACATTGTTCTAAGTGAATATTTAGACCACACTGAGTTTGTTAATCACCTTCTTCCTCTGGTTTTAAGATTATGTAAAAGCCAATGAGTGATTTACTCTTGAAAGCTGAGTTGTGAATAAAAAATTCCAGTGCATGCAAGGTTGGGTGATTTTCTAATTTCCAAATCTCTCTGTTGGTTCTCTAAGTATTTATTGATTCCTTCTCTAAGAATGATTATACTTAAGGAGTATAGAAACATGCTCTTCAAAGGGAAGGCTAAATTTTTAGGACAGGAGGCACGTGAAGTAATAGCCAAGTCTCTATCTATGTTTACCAGTATGAATGATCACAACATTAGTTACTAAATTAGCAAATCTTGATAATTTGCTAAAAAAACCTTCCCCAAATTCCAATAAACAAAGCTCTAAAATTTATGGCTATTTGAAGGGTAGTAAAGCTGCTAAAATTTTGTAGCCATCATCATCATTATCTGAATAGTTTCCTTTTTTTTATAGACTCTACAATTTTATTTATTTTATTTTATTTTTTAAATTAAACTTTATTGTTCAGATTACTACAGTTGTTCCTCTTCCCCCCCCATAGCGCCCCTCCACTCAGTTCCCACCTCACCCTCTGCCCTTACACCCCCGCCACTGTCCTCATCCATAGGTGTACGATTTTTTTCCAGTCTCTTCCCACACCCCCCACACCCCTTTCTCCCCGAGAATTGTCAGTCCACTCCCTTTCTATGCCCCTGATTCTATTATATTCCCCAGTTTATTCTGTTCATCAGACTATTTATTCACTTGATTTTTAGATTCACTTGTTGATAGATATGTATTTGTTGTTCATAATTTTTATCTTTACCTTTTTCTTCTTCTTCCTCCTCTTAAAGAATACCCTTCAGCATTTCATATAATACTGGTTTGGTGGTGATGAACTCCTTTAGCTTTTTCTTGTCTGTGAAGCTCTTTATCTGACCTTCAATTCTGAATGATAGCTTTTCTGGGTAAAGTAATCTAGGTTGTAGGTTCTTGCTATTCATCACTTTGAATATTTCTTGCCACTCCCTTCTGGCCTGCATAGTTTCTGTTGAGAAATCAGCTGACAATCGTATGGGTACTCCCTTGTAGGTAACTGACTGTTTTTGTCTTGCTGCTTTTAAGATTCTCTCTTTGTCTTTTGCTCTTGGCATTTTAATTATGATGTGTCTTGGTGTGGTCCTCTTCGGATTCCTTTTGTTTGGGGATCTCTGCGCTTCCTGGACTTGTAAGTCTATTTCTTTCACCAGGTAGGGGAAGTTTTCTGTCATTATTTCTTCAAATAAGTTTTCAATATCTTGTTCTCTCTCTTCTTCTGGCACCCCCATAATTTGGATGTTGGTACGCTTGAAGTTGTCCCAGAGGCTCCTTACACTATCTTCATATTTTTGGATTCTTTTTTCTTTTTGCTTTTCTGGTTGGGTGTTTTTTGCTTCTTTGCATTTCAAATCTTTGACTTGATTCTTGGGATCCTCTAGTCTGCTGTTGGATCTCTGTATAATAGTCTTTATTTTAGTCAGTGTATGCTTAATTTCTAGTTGGTCCTTTTTCATATCCTCGAGGGTCTCACTAGATTTATTGAGGATCTCACTAAATTTATCAGCGGTTTCTAGAAAATTCTTGAAAAACCTTATAACCATGGTTTTGAACTCTATAGCCAGTAGTTTGCTTTCCTCCATTTCTGTAATTTGTGACCTGTTTCTTTGTCTCCACATTTTGGCTGCTTCCCTGTGTTGGTAGAGTGGCTTTCTGTGCTAGGTGTCCTATAGGCCCCAGTGGCTCAGCCTCCCCAATTACCTGAGGTGGACACTCTTGGTGCACCCCTTTGTGGGCTTTGTGCACAGTCTTGTAGTTAAACCTTGATTGTTGTAGTTATCACTGGGAGGAATTGACCTCCAGGCCAATTGGCTGTGAGAATCAGCTGTGTCTATGCTGGGAGAACTTGTGTGCTGGAGACACCCTTACGGGGCAAGACTTGCTTCAGTGGGGCTTTGGTGCTCACCGAGTCTGCCCCCTGAGTGTGTCCCTTATGGATCTGAGGAGTTGTAATCTGGATGGTCCCACTCCGACCACTGGGTACACTGGCTCTTGGATCTCTAAGGAGGTGCTAATTTAGCCTCTGCCTGAGGCTACCCAGTAGGAGCTATGGAGAGATCTGCAGATTCCTTTTCTTTGTTTGGGGTTTGGAGGTGCCCAGATGAGGCCCAGCTGTGAAGCAATGCAAGCTGCTGTGGGGCCTTGGGCCTTCTTTTGGATGTTCTGGGTCTCTCTGATTCAGCTGCAGTTTGTTAGGTAATTTTAGATTGGAAAGGGTCAGGCCATTCATATGCAAAAGCCTCTGTGCACAGCTTGGGTGGGGCGGGGTTTCAGGGAATCAACAGGGCAGAGCAAACAGATATGGGTGATCCTCAGCCCTGCCCTAAGAGGCCCTGGTTCTCAGTGTCCCTCGGTAATCGCTACAAGCACCTTTGAGAGAAAGCCGCCCTCGAGTTCCGACTGATGCCAGACAGTCCAGTTTCTCCCCATATGAGTCTGGGTCCCCAGAGACTCACCCAGAACTGGAGTCAGGGCCATCGGGAGCTTGAGACTCCCTCCCAATTGAAAAAGACAACCATGTCCTCAGTTGCCAGCCCTTTCCGCGTGCGCCTCTGTACCTCTGCACTTTACTTCCACACCTCCTCTGAGTCTCAGTGTGCTTTTCTCTTTCCTTCTAGTTGTAGAATTTCCACTCAGCCAGCCTTCCTGTGGTTCTGGATGATGTCGGTTTTGTCTTTTAGTTGTAATTTTGAAGTGGTTTTGCGAGACAGCAATTTCCGGTGTTTACCTATGCCACCATCTTGGTTTCTCTCTGAATGGTTTCTTTCTTCAAGAATTTTTATAATGAAAGAAATAATTATGGTAGACAATCACATGCAAAACAAAACAATTTAAAATGAATAAACTCGAACATACCTGTCATGGTTTGAGATTCCTGGGAAGCAGACTTTGAGACACAGTTTATTGTGTAGGATATTTATTAGGGCATGCCCTTGAGGTCAATACCTGTGGGAGGGAGGAAAAGGAAGCAGGAGTGAGCACAGGGAGAAGCCAAGCTGTGATGCAGGGCCAACAATTGCCTCCACTGACCTTATGGAGAGTCCTAGATCTGAGATGGCCATTCAGAGCTGTCCTGAGTTGGGAGGAGGGAGTGAGGTTTTCATACCCTCCTGTCAACCAGTCATGGAATGTCACTCGCCTTGGAAAGGTATGTGACCTTGGGTGCATCTCTGCAACTGAGTCAGTGCCCAAAGAGAGCTGACAGCTGAAAGTCATGTTTCAGTAGCATGCCTAGCAGCCGGGGAGTAAGTCTTTTATTCACAATGGGGAATCTGGATGCCACCTCACAGTTTCCACCACAATGTCATACTGAGAATTTATAAAAACCAAGTCATAATCAATGCTAAGAATTCAGGAAAACAAGAAGCATGAAGGAAGGTGAGAATAATTATGATTTTTGGACTGACAAGACTTCCACATGGAGGGTGTACAGATCAAGGTGGACAAGAATTTGGACAAAGGAGGAGCTGATATGTTCATTTGAAGATGCCCAGGAGGAGACAAAGGGTAAAAGTCTGTGATGACAGAAAAGGGCAAGATATGTGCAGGGTTGGCAATAAGACTGGGTTTCCTGCAGTAAGATATTGAAAAGATTTAAAACAGACAGAAGCAGAGGATGCTAGTGGGGAGCCTTGATACTCTTAATCAGCTTTGACTTAAGAAACAAAGTAAACATTGGAGGCTTCAGAGAAAAAAAATCTTCCTTTAATGTACAGAGCAGATTGGAAGGAGAGGATTAGAGTTAGAGGGGCTACCTGTGGGTTCTGGAATAGCATGAGGGTCTTTAGCTGCTCTAATAATGTCCTCTCATCTAGAGTTGAGACTAGGGTGTGCAATCTAGGCACCTTATAATGCAAAATTTGTTCTTGCATGACTCTGACCGTGAGCACCTCCTTATATTTTATGTCCTAGGCACCTTGCTTGCCTCCCTCAAGTCCTGACCCTTCTATCAGCAAACCATCCCAAACAAATATATTTTAGTGAAAACAGTTTGCTTGCTGTGTAAGTGCCATTGCAGAGCAAGTGCCTGACACTCACAACACTTGTTGGTCAGTGCAAAAAAATAAGGTGTGCATGTAAGGTGTTAGTATTTATCTGGGGTGATCAGGGAAGGTTTTTATGAGGAAACTAGAGGCCTGGTGCATGAAATTCATGCATGGAGGGGGGGTGTCCCCCAGCCCAGCCTGCACCCTCTCCAATCTGGGACCCCTTGGGGGGGATGTCTGACTGCCAGTTTAACCGGCAGTTGGACATTCCTCTCACAATCTGGGACTGCTGGCTCCTAACCGCTCGCCTGCCTGCCAGCCTATTTGCCCCAAACCGCTCCCATGCTGGCCTGATTGATGCCTAACTGCTCCCCTGCCAGCCTGATAGCCCCCAACTGCCCTCCTCTGCCAGCCCGATTGCCCCCAACTGCCCTCCCCTGCTGGCCCAATGGCTCCCCAACTGCCCTCCCCTGCTGGCCCGATGGCTCCCCAACTGCCCTCCCCTGCTGGCCCAATTGTCCACAACTGCCCTCCTCTGCCAGCCTGATCACCCCCAACTGCTCTCCCCTGCTGTGACCTGCCTCCTACACCGGGACCTGCCTCCTCCGCATGAGGCAGTAGAGACGCCGGGACTGGCCTCCTCCATGCCACATGGAACCACGGAACCCCCAGGCCTTACTGTGTGGAGTGGCCACTGAGCCCTGCCTCCACAGTGCACATGGCCATCTTGTGGCAGCCATCTTGTGATGGCCATCTTGTGACAATGTCACGTGCAAGGGCGCAAGGGCCACCTAGGCTTTTATTAGTATAGATATTTGAGGAAATATGTGAAACTGTTATTCCACATGGAGGGGGTGTGGGAAAGCATTTCAGACAAAAGAGAATTAAAAAAATCCCCAAACAACTCATGCCCTAGCCAGTTTTGCTCAGTGGATAGAGCATTGGCCTGCGGACTGAAAGGTCCCAGGTTTGAGTCCAGTCAGCGCACATGCCTGGGTTGTGGGCTTGATCCCCAGTCGGGGGCGTGCAGGAGGCAGCTGATCAATGATTCTCTCTCATCATTGATGTTTCTCTTTCTCCCTCTCCCTTTCTCTCTGAAATCAATAAAAATATATATAAAAAACTCATGGAAGTACTCTGAGACAAAAAATGCATAAGGTTGTGGAATTATGTATATGATCCTCTTAAGCTATTAGAGGAACAAGAAGGAGTACTAGCAAGAGCTAAAAAGAACCCCAACCCCACTCTGTCTTTATGACTAAAGAGGTCAAGACAATAAAAGAAAATTGGGAGAACTGGTTATCTTTTTAAATTTCAAAAAGCACTATTACGATTTGATCAAGATGTAAATATTACATACTACTAAACATGATTGTGCTACAACTGAAAGCAAAAAGAAGGGAAGGAGAGTGGGAATATTGTTGAAAGGAATATAATGCATATGGAAGAAAGTATATATAATAGAATTACCTAAATAACAGTTAAATTCTTCCCCTGCAGGGTTATGAACCAGATCCCAATATAATCAAGTTGGCAGAGAAGTATGCCAAGGAGGTATGTTCCTTATAGATAAAGTTATTATTGCTTTTCTTTGTCCCATGAAGTTGTTTAATTGGCATGTTTGTGTATTCTAGAACAGTACCAAGCTGTCGCTGACGAATGATCCATTGGAAGCGGCTCGTGGAGGAAATGTATTAATTACAGATACTTGGATAAGTATGGGACAAGAAGAGGAGAAGAAAAAGCGGCTCCAGGCTTTCAAAGGTTACCAGGTTACAATGAAGGTACAAATTGATGCCTCTCTGAAGGTTCATTAATTCCATTCATAAAGGCCAGAACCATCTAATCACTCATTCACATTGGGGAGAGCAGACTGTCTTTTCATTCCCTATGAAGGACTCACTGACTGTATCCCCTAGAGCAGTGGTTATCAACCTTCTGGCCCTTTAAATACAGTTCCTCATGTTGTGACCCAACCATAAAATTATTTTCGTTGCTACTTCATAACTGTAACGTTGCTATTGTTATGAATGGTCATGTAAATATCTGATATGCAGGATGGTCTTAGGTGACCCCTGTGAAAGGGTCGTTCGACAGCCAAAGAGGTCGCGACCCACAGGTTGAGAACCGCTGCCCTAGAGATTTCTCTTCTCCCAAAGATTAGCTATGTTCTTTAGAAAGACACTTTTATCCTGATTGAAGGAATTTGAAAGTCAGTCAGAAGAAAGAAGCTAAATTTTCCCTCTCACAGCAATGGAGGCATCAGAATGCTTTACACTTTATGGGTTTAGAGACATAAGGTTACTTCTGTTGCATGCAGTTTCTTCTGATTTCTTCTCTAAGAAAAGCCCCATAATTTTGTTCTTCAGGCTAGTCCTTAACTCTGTTTTCTAAGGACTCAAGTCCAGTTGAGTTTTGCTAACTGCCTGCAGGGCATTCTCAGGGGAATCCCTTCAGATATTCATGAAAGGCATCACATGAGAAGGTGTCAATACACAGCTGGCAGGACCCTACTCCAATAGGGTTGCTGAATCAGTAGGTCAGGGGAGGGACCCAATAAATTGCATTTCTACCAGGTTCCCCGATGATGCAGTGCTGTTGCTCTAGGGTCACACTTTGAGAACAACTGTTCTGGAGGAAACCCCTAAAAGTCAGGGGACATTGGGATTTTGTCAACAGAGCAACTAATCTGTTTTAGTGCAGAAAAGGATTAAGCCATTTTAATAGATATTTTATTGATAAAGTAATATATAAATATAAGCTCCCTAATTTATATATGTCACTAGAATGAAGTTTGAAAAATAAACAAGTGAAAATGTCTTTTCCCCATCTCCTTAACAGTAACTATTCCCACAGGTAACCAGTGTTTATCAATTTGACAAGAGGCCCATAAATGGATGGGAAAATGTAACTTGTAGGAAATAACTGTTGGGGAAAATTAAACCTGTTGGGACATTTGCATTAAGAATGAAATATCTAGTACATAATCCTGTTTAATGCACTCCTATCTCAGCGCTCTTTTTCAGAATTGTTTTTAAGTGATAATAAAGTATGCTTCAAGTGCTAAAAACCATAATTTGGAGATAAGCTCAAAATATAACGCAATCACATAAAAGTAACTTTTAAAATATAGTGGGGGATAAGTGGTCACTTTTGCTATCAGCCACTTACTACTCATAGAGTTCTTTACTGAGTTATCCCCATCTTTTCCTTAGACTGCTGAAGTTGCTGCCTCTGACTGGACATTTTTACACT